ACGTTGTTCAAGGGTCAACTGTATATTATCTGGTTGTAATATCTAGAACGAATTTTGATTTTCTGATGGGTCCTGATTGATACCACTGTTTTCATTCTTTCCAAACTTCCACACTGCAGCTACAGTAATCTTTCTTTTCTTTCTTCCTTTCCTTTCCTTTCCTTTTCTCTTTCTTTCTTCCTTTCTTTCCTTTCTTTCCTTCCTTTCCTTCCTTTCCTTCCTTTCCTTCCTTTCCTTCCTTCCCTCCCTTCCTTCCTTCCTTCCTTCCTTCCTTCCTTCCTTCCTTCCTTCCTTCCTTCCTTCCTTTCTTTCTTTCTTTCTTTCTTTCTTTCTTTCTTTCTTTTTCTTTCTTTCTTTCTTTCTTTCTTTCTTTCTTTCTTTCTTTCTTTCTTTCTTTTCTTTCCTTCCTTCCTTCCTTCCTTCCTTCCTTCCTTCCTTCCTTCCTTCCTTCCTTCCTTCCTTCCTTCCTTCCTTCCTTCCTTCCTTCCTCCTTCCTTCCTTCCTTCCTTCCTTCCTTCCTTCCTTCCTTCCTTCTTTCTTTCTTTCTGGTTTGGTTTGAGATGGAGTCTAACTCTGTCGCCCAGGCTGGAGTGCAGTGGCGCGATCTCTGCTCACTGCAAGCTATGCCCCCTGGGTTCACGCCATTCTCCTGCCTCAGCCTCCCGAGTAGCTGGGACTACAGGCGCCTGCCACCACGCCTGGCTAAATTTTGTAATTTTTTTAAACAGAAACAGGGTTTCACCGGGTTGGCCAGGATGGTCCCCATCTCCTGACCTCCTGATCCACCCACCTCGGCCTCCCAAAGTGCTGGGATTACAGGCATGAGCCGCCGTGCCCTCCCAGCTACAGTAATCTTTCTAAAACACGAATCTTATCACTTCCCTTATTGCGCGAATTCAGTGACTTCTCATAATTTTCAAGAAAAATTATAAACTATTGTAGTAAAAGTATCCTATCATGATGAGTTAGCCCTGACTATATCTCTGACATAATCTACTATTACTTTCCCTCCCTTTCAATATACAATAAATTTGGCCATAAAGATGTGAAATACTCTTAGTTCCCTAATATTTAGAACTTCCTCTCATTTATGGACCTTCATACATCTTTTGAGTGAGACACTCATTCCTGCTACCTTACTTTGGGTAATTCTTATTTACATGTGAGGTATAAGTTTAAACATATATATATATATATATATATATATATATATATATATATATATATATTTTTTTTTTTTTTTTTTTTTTGAGACAGGAGTCTCCCTCTGTCACCCAGGCTGGAGTGCAGTGGTGCAGTGGCACGATCTCAGCTCACTGCAACCTCCGCCTTCTGGGTTCAAGTGATTCTCCTGCTTTGGCCTCCCAAGTAGCTGGGATTAGAGATGTCTGCCACCACGCCCAGCTAATTTTTGTATTTTTAGTAGAGACGGGGTTTCATAATGTTGGCCAGGCTGGTCTCGATCTCTTGACCTCATGATCCACCCGCCTCAGCCTCCCAAAGTGCTGGGATTACAGAGGTGAGCTACCATACCCAGCAAGCATAATTTTTTTTTAAGACACCTTCTGTTTGTCATGGAATGGTGCATGTGCAGTTGTATTCTGCTTTTATTCCGCTTCTATTTCCCTTTCCATGCTTCCTCACAATTGCATGTGTAATCTAATGTTACTGGTCCTTTGTAGAACATTTATTTCCAATTGAGAGGCCAATCTCAGCATATTGTAAAATCACAAACAATAAGAACAATAAAATATAACAACAAAAATTGAATACCAATCACCCCCAATTACCAGTCGCATCAAAGCTCCCTCTTCAGAAATCGGGATACATGAGATTTAACTCACTTATAATGTTTTCTTATTTCTTTGTATGTTACTTAAATGACTTGTTCTCCCTGTCATACTCAAAGCTTTAAGAAGGAGAAGACCATGTCTATGCTACTTTTTCACCTGGTCCAATTCCTGATACCTATTATCAGTCATTGGCACTTGCTTCCTCATCAATGGCCTGGGTCACTCAGGTTCTTGGGTAAATTAGAAGAAGAATCAAGAGAAATCCAACTCACAGAATCTCTGGAAAGATTATCTTTCCCTCCCTGAGCACCAAGGAAACTGTTTAATAAAATGGCCCATCTAGTTCTAAATAGTCACATCATATCTTTGTCTGCAAAATAACTTTCTCTTTGCAAATGCTTAATGTCTTATTAATTTCATTCAGCATTTTAGTGCTTGTGTCTCATCTCCTTGTTCATGATGAATAATCTATTTCCAGAAGTCAAAACATTGCTTCCTTGCCCTTTCTATGTATACCTATACTCAGCAGGGATGTAACTGGCTCCTACCAAAGGTGAGTCCAGCTGAGAGCAAAGTATCTTCAAGAAAGGCACTGTGTGAGCAGACATCTCACTTCAGAGAAATCCAGGCTTTGCACTTGAAGGTATATGGGAGGACATAGTGGGTTAAAATTACCCCACTTCATCAGGCATGGGGCCCAGGTGGTTTAGTTAATGATGGCTTCATACCTGGTGAGCCCCCATCAGTATATTCTGGGAAAATATTCATAACTTACGAATGAAAAAGCAAGTAAAGAAAAAGGAGATTTTCCTTTTAAATAGCTTAAAGGCATTCAATGACTGAAGTCCAAGAAGCATATACAATGTACCAATAACAGAACTAGAATCAGTAAGCAAGAAAAATGAAGTATCCAATATGACAAAACAATGCTGCATCATTTTAATGATAGTACATAAATCAAAGTTTTTTCAACATTAATATATTTATTTAATTCATGCATCATAAAATAAACTTTGAATGCTACTGAGGAGATATGTAAATGCCTCACCACCCTAGTCCCTCACCTCCATATAATTATAAACATAATTTTATTATTTTAAATAATAGGGGTTTTAAAAATGTCTTTGAAATAACAGAGGTTAATATCCAATACAATTTGTGAATGTGTTGCAGTAATATCAGTTAAAACAAGCATCTGATTAATGTGGCTTGGGAACCTCAGACAATTTATTGAGCTGCTTGCTGTTTAAAATCTATGATACTTTCCCTCTTCTGTGCAGATATTGATTTGATAGATGAAGTGGGGGTAATTTTTCTTTTAGAGTGGTGATGTTAATGGTCGTTGAATTTTCACTGACAACAGCAGTGAACTATGTTTATTAGGGAACTCTAGTAGTTGTTTATTTTCCTTCTTTCTTTTGTTTGTTTCTCCCTTTTTCTTCTCCTTATGATTTCAGCCTTTCAAAGATGACGGAAAACCTTTAGAAAGGTAAGCCTGGATTTCAGCTTGTCGTGTTGAAGTCAAGATTAATTATATAGAGGAAAGAAAGATAAGGGACTTTTGTCTGGTTCTATCATCTTAAAATCTTGGTCAATATGTGCCTTTGTGATCAGTTCTCTATTGTTTGAAATTGTTTCCCTATTGAAATCATTTCTCTATTTTGCACCAGGTGCATTCTAGAGTCCATAGTGACATCACAACATCATATTATATGAGCTAAGCTAAAGGTCTCATCTGGGAAAGGGTATCTCTCCAGGCAAGGTAAGCAAGATAAAGATTCACACACCCCAGGATCTCATCCTCCCATCGTGACACATACAAGAACATCTATTAAATAAGGTTAAAATTCCATTTTAGTGAAGAGAACATCTTTCTCATGAGTTTCCCATCTTATAGGGAAAAGTATAAGAATTTTTGTTGTCATTTGAAGAATAAACAAGCTGCCAGAAAGCCTGGAAGTGTGGTGTCAGCCGTTTACAAGAGACTAATGGAAATGCCTGTTGCTCAGCTCTTACAGATGTTATTGGGGTCTATAGAATGTTGTGGCCATCCCTGCTAGAAGGAGACAGTTTTATTTTTTTGAGAAGTTGAGCTTGAGTACATTCCCTGCCACTGAGGGAAGGAGCGGGTCCCAACTAGCTTATCATCTAGTCAACCTAGAATGAGCTTCTAGAGTCACTTTCAGGCAATTTCATTCGCTGTTTCAATATTTTTATAAGAAAATAAAATCAAAATTATGTATATAAAATCACAATTACCTAGACATGATATAATTATGTTTATATATATTATTGCAATATATATACAGGCATTTTAATGAAAATGTACTATATACATTATAAATATATGTATATGACTCATATATACATGTGTATATTATGAGCATGTGTGCATATGCACATAATATACCAATATATCATTTACTGAAAACAAATTTTATCTGGGTTTTGAAGACTATCTGAGCAGACATGAGGTAAATGGAAATCAAACATGTGCCAGCTTGAATACTGAATCTGCCTTTAAAGATATGACCTGGGCAACGTATTTTTTCTGAGCTTCAATTTAATGATAAAGTAATGATCATCATAACTTTTTTGTAAAGTTGTTTGAAGCCTCAAGACAGTAACTGTAAAGCACTTAGCGTAATTCCATGTAGTACACATTGACATTCCCAGGTTATTATTGAAATAGATATTTCATGAGGTTTTAAATTTAATATAGAATTAATTTCACTCAGGCATTTATTAAAGAAGCATTTAATATAATCTATAGTATTGCATGTTACTTGGAAATACAAAGATAAAGAAGCCACAGCCGTAGCTTCATTGGGTGTATACTCTAGGAATGGTACCATGACAGAGAAAGACATAATTCTTTTAACAGGTGAATAGTGGCATGAGATAATGATTTAAATATACTTCTCCCAGAGGTTTTGTTTTATTTTTAAAATTTACTCATGTATATTATCAGCTTTAATTGATACATATTTATGGGGCACAGTGTAATATTTTGCTACATGTGTACAATGTAATGATCAAATCAGAGTGATTAGCAAATCTATCACCTCAAACATTTATCATTTTTTTGTGTTGGGAACACTGAAACTCCTCTCTTCTAGCTATTTGAATATACAATAAACTGTTGTTAACTGTAGTCACCCTACAATGTTATAAAACACTAGAACTTATTCTCAAGAGTTTTTTTTTTTTAATTTTTTATTTGCTGTGGTAACAGTTGCTGTTGTTTTTAATAGTGCATATAGATAGAATTAGAGTGAAGATAAATAGTTCTCCCTTAAATTATGTAGGACTAAGTTCAAAGAAGACTTCACCGGGTCTTCACCTGGAGAAGCATATGAATGGGACACTGAGCCTAAGAGCTCAGCTTGTGTTTAAATATATCATTCAGGAAGAGAAGCTATTCACTTTATTCACTTGCCTTCCTACACCTCCCTTTTAGTGAGAGTTGGATGTTCAACTGTTTTCCCTTATTAAAGGTAGGGGAGAGAGACCCTCAGAGAATCAGTTGTAAAGTTTGAATAAACTTATAAGACAGGAAAAATAATATCTCATTTCCTATTTTGAACTGTGTCCAATCACTGTGTGTGTGTGTTTGTGTGTATTTGTGTGTGTGTGTTGCAGGGGGTGGTGGAGAGGGTTAAATCTTTGAATAAATAGTTTTATGAAATCAGAATGAGAATAACATGTTATTAATGCACTGTACAATCCAGAGGGAGAAATAAAGGTTCAGCAGAGCACAATTAAAAGTATTAGAAAATTTTAAATAATTTTACATTGATAACCCCAGTGAATTCAACCTGTTCAATAAAGCAGTTACATTTACAATATAGTAAACCAAGTGCAAGGATAGAGATGTGCATGGAGTGTTACTGGAGAAGCATGGTATTGGGGAAGGTGTCCTAGGAGAGTTATTGTCCATTCTAAATGCTAAAACACGGGTATGCCTTATATAATCAAATTTGGCATGGAAAAATATTAGAGATAATTTCAAGGAAAAGATGAACTGAAGAACTTGGGCAAAAAGCAGAATGTGATAATTTATGTTGTATATTTTACTACATTTATTACTTGTGATATGTTTCTGTTCATCCCAGTAAAGCACAGATAAGAAAGCATAAGATTTCTTAAATACCCATAAACAAAACAGAATTATTTTTCATCCACGTGGATGAAGCACTTTGCAATAATATTTTCCTTCCTGTCAAGAGAACAGTAAAACAGTAATGTTGACACAATCTTTTTATAATAAGATATCTAATTGGAATGGAGAATTAGAAGACTTGTCAAAATGTTTTGTTTATACTGCTTTTAGTTAAGTTGTACAATGATTTTGGTGGGGTTGGGAGATGTGGTCTTATATGGAGCAGCGGTGGTGATAGAGGAAGTAAATCACACTGCAAGCCTTCTATTTGCTGCTGACATTGAAAATAATTGCTGTGTATCTCATTATATTATTTTTAATTCATTGTATGTGAGTCCATTAAACATAGTAGGTGATGGCACTTTGAAAATCTATTTGCTGGCTCAAAACTTACCTATCAATTAATTCTTTCAAAAATAATTATTGATATCTAGAATGTGTCAAAGTGGTGGTGATAATCCTGGATGATACAAGGTTAATCAAAGTAGATACTAATTTTGCCTACAAAGAGTTTGCAATTGAAGTTCATTTGATTTCTCAGAAAGAGGGGGAGAAACTCATCATAACTCATCACTCCCCAAAAACACATATGTGTTGATTCATATAAAAATAACATATGCCCTGCTACTGATAGAGAGAGCAGGAAAATGAGAAGGTCTCTTTCTAACTTGCATCTTCAATAGAAAGATTATGCAATATGCTAGTTGTTTATTCCATACTGAACATCCATATTCAGATTCTAAAGTCATCTATATTTTTCCTTTTTAAAAATAGTAATACATGATCCACTACCATGGTCAGTTTGTCTGTGAGTTAGCTTTATTCAACACAAGTATAAAGTTTCCTTAGAGATCAATGTATAGGCATCAGTATTTCATATCTGTGAATATATGATTAGTGAAATGAATGGAAGCAATGATAATATTTATGATTGCTACAAAGAAAACCTACTTAAGCCAAATTGGTCCAGTGTTTTTTTCTGGAAAACTGTTTTACTGGGAGGTTCAGAGAGAAAGAGAGAGAGGCAGAAAGAGAAGGCATATTCTTCAGATAAAATTTCTCCAATCTATGTCCAAATAAATTAATGTAGACATAATTTATAGTAGTCCTGGTCTTTGGTAAAATGAGATAGCAGCACCACTGAAACTAATACTAGCGCATTGGAAAACACTGACAACAGGAGAGAACAATTTGTTGTTTATGCATGAGGCATGAAAAGACCATAAGTTTGGATAAATGTTCAGAATGCCAACCTATATGATCCATACAGCTGCCACACTATAATCCAGTGAAGTTTCACTGAAATGCATGATTCCATCGAGAGATCCATAACTTGGTGGAAATTAGAAAACTGACGATTTTCCAGTCACCAACTTGTCCCCAAGTGGAGCTATTGTTTTACATTGTGTAGGATTTTGAAAAAATTCAGTTGCTTCTCTTCCAATTATGTTGGTCAGTGACATGAAAACATATCTATACTTTTAAGAGTGAGCATGTTTACTTGGCCAAAAGAGACTGCAAAAGAGAGATAAAAAACAAACAAACAAACAAACAAACAAAAAACCACAGCATTTACTCTGCATATTTGTGTTAGAAAATGAATGTCTCAATACATATTAAAATGTTGTTATTCCTGTTAAAAACAGAATAAGCTCAGGATGTTACAGGTATGACTGGAACACTCTGTAGTCACCTTCCATAGGAGAGCAATTAGAAAATACAGTTTGCCATTCATTACCTTAAAAATAGGTTTATTATACCTAATATTCTTTCCATAATACGTTTTTAGAAGCAAGATGGTCAATAGTAAGATTCAAAATTTGCCTTATGTGTATTTTTAAAAGTTTCCACGATTAATGTACAATTTTGTGAATTACAGTCTTGATATTTAAAATGATTTAAATTGAGCATTCTTATATTTTGTTTTCCACAGACATAAAGTGTACTTTAACTGCGATTAACAGGAACTACAAATATTTCATATTACTAATGAGGAAACATACAAATAGGTTCAGTTAATATTGGAGTTCATAAATTACTTTGGAAGATTTAAGTTGAAAAATGAAAATAAAAAATAGAAGGTGATGTATACATTTCTATCTGCTTGCTCTTTGGAATATGTTTGCCAAGATGAGCTATCATTAAGTATAAAGTATTTAAAAATAATATAAACAGAATCTTTAAACATGTAAGTTATGATTTAGTGAAAGCCTTATTTACAATAATAAGGTGTTTGGACTTAATTTTTTAAGGGAAAGGAGAATGATCTCATTATTGAAGAAGGCAATCTTATCAGTGATGTGAAGAATGGATGGTTGGAGTATGGAAGATTGGATCCAAATTAAAGGTGAAAGCATGTCCACAAGTTATTGCAATAGTCCAGTGAAATGGTTAAGAGGGCCTGTCTTAGGCTAGAAGCTATGGGAATGGAAAGAAAAAGACAGATGTAGAAGGATGCTGCGATAAAGGAACTAGCATCAGTGGGAGTTGAAACTTAATTACCGATTGAAAGAGAAGGTGGAATGAAAGTCCACACTGGGGTACCCGGCTTGAGTCACTTGAAGTGAAATATCCCCGATGAGAATTCTTGAGGTGGTGTGTGCATTGGCATGGCTCTTGGGAAGACTGGTGCTCGCACTCCCGGATTTAATGTAGCAGTTGGAACCACCCCTTGGAAGATACAGAAACAGGCTTAAAACAAATAGATGAAGACAAACTATGATTGTTTAGAGCAAGTTATGTTCTTATTAAAGCATAATTATTTTCCAAGGAAAGCAGAGGAAATTTAGAATTTCAGGTATTAAGTGACCAGACGTGTTGGTTTATGCTTGTAATCACAGCACTTTGGGAGGCCGAGGTGGGCGGATCACCTGAGGTACGGAGTTCGAGACAACCCTGGCCAACATGGCAAAACTCCAACCCTACAAAAAAAAAAAAAAAAAAAAAAAAAAAAAAAAAAAGGCGAGCGTGGTGGTGGGCACCTGTAATCCCAGTTACTCCGGAGGCTGAGGCAAAATAATCGCTGGAATCCAGGAGGCGGAAGTTGCAGTGAGCGGAGAACGCCTCATTGCACTTCAGCCTGGGGGACAAGAGCGAAACTCCCTCTCAAAAAAAAAAAAAAAAAAAAAAAAAAAAAAAGACAGTCTTCTTCTTTTGGTTTAAAAAATTCAAGTAAAATCCAATAATATACATTTTATCTTGGGAAATTAGTCTCTAACAGACGCTGACTTCACAAAGTTTCCATCAGTGTGTGCCTTTGTATCTAACTCAGAAATCAATTTCAGAGCTGAAACACCACTGCAAGTATTTCTGAACACTCTTTTTAGTCATCTGCTAAATCACTGCTGCTGTCCTATCAGAAATTTTGCATTTCAGTAGTCAGACAGGCACAGACAAGAACCCAGGAGCACTTACCAGTAACAATTACGAAATGGGGAAAAAATGGTAGGAAGCTTAAGTTATTTGAGGATACTTTTGATGCTATAGCTGGTAACTGGAATTTTTGGAAATGTAAAATGTATATACACCATTTAAGCCGCAACCTATTTTCCTTTGTTGTGAGTTAATTTCATTCAGTTACAAATGATCTACTGAATTACATGGCACCGTGGATGTGTATGGTTTCTGAAACATTAAATGGTTCACTTTCACATGTAAATTTCAATCAATTAAAATTTGTATGTCTATATTGAGTACAGTAGGTATTTAATATAATTTCTTTCTCTATAGGTAACCTATTTTCCATCACTACATATTCAATGGAAAATGGAAAATCATTTACCCTGTAATTTGAAATGCCATTCGTTTCCTGCATCAAATTCTATTTATAGAGTACTGCCATTCTGGTCCATTTTTCATTTCTCTCGTTTTGTTTAAAAAAAAAATCACACTGAATTAATTAGTATCTATCTCTTAATTATTATGGTATTTTGGTAAGGTGATTCACTCTAACATTTCTCTTCTTCAGTGTTAGTGTAATTGAGAACTAAATGGCTCATAAAAAAGGAAACTTGCCTGTTTTGACATTAAACAAGAATAGAAATAAGAAAAACATTTCCCTACATAATTAATATAAATAAGTTCTCAAATAATTTTAATGATTGAACTCAAGTACCTTAGCGGTACAAACAGCTAAAGTTGAAAATTTTGTTTTAAAGTTGTCCTCAATTGATATTTCCCAGAGGGAATTGACAAAAGCAAATACATATATTCTAAGACGTAAGAAATCAAGTAAATAATAAATAAGCCACAAATGACTTTCAGAGATAAAGTACCAAAAAAAACTTAGTGGGTCACAGATTTTTTAAAATAAAAGAAATATAAAATAAAAATAATAAAAAATAAATAATAAAAGAATAAAATTATAGAATTTTATTCTATAATAAATAATAAAAGAAAACAAGTCACCATGTGTGAGCATTAGCTAACACAATAATTAGCTTTGTTAGATTAAAAAAGATTCCAAAAAGTTTGAATCATCAAAACTGGACTATATTGAAAAACTACATTTTTGTATTAAATATATTAAAAATACATTTTCAAAAACCCTGAAAATGTAAGTCAACAAAAGATTATAAAAAATAAACCAAGGAGATATATATGTATGTATATGTGTGTATAAATATAGATATATGTAATTTGATTTTTATATCTAATTATATATATTTATATATAGAAATTCAAATTAAAAATGAAATAAATGGATTAAACACCATCTTAGAGACAAGTAAAAAGAGAGTGAATAGATAATATAGTTTAAGAATTTTCCATAATTGATCTCAGATATTTAAAGATATGAGAAATATAGAAGAAAGATTTAGAAAGTTCTAAGACAAAGTGAGAAAATTTAACACAACCAAACAGGATTCAAAAAATACCTAAAAGAGATAATTAGGAAGAAATGCTATTTATTCAAAGGAATAATGGATGATAATTTTCTTTTGTGAAAAACAGACAACAGAAAATGCAGGTCATGTTTAAGGTTCATGACTTCATTTGACTTGTGGAGAAATCAGAATTTGTAGACTTTTATTTCTTTAACTAACTTTCCCTTACAGAAATGTTTGTTACACTTTTACTTGGCAGGAAATACTTAGTTTTTTAATACTCAAACACTTGATTGAAGTAGGTATTTTCAAGAAGGTTGCAAAATGTCCTGAATATGTACATTCTGCTGACCCCAAAATAATGTATATAAAGAATTCAAATATAAGACTAGGCAGCTGGGTAGAGTTCTTATTTAAGAATGTATGCATACTCTATATCTTGTCATTTTGAATCATAGTTCTGTTATGAATGCTTACAATGAAGAGACCAAGAAACTATTCACTTTATTTAATTAGTGACTAAAATTTTCAGTTTTTATTTCCTGGAGTCTTTTAACCTGAAGCATTATGAAGACCAAAAACTTAAAAGACATGTTGATTGTAGGACATATATTAGTTTACTGAAATATACAGTATGTTTGTTTCAAAACCACATGTATAAGTTGACTACTACTTCTGAGTGGGATAAAAAACTTCATGGAAATGGTTTATATAGAGAAGAGAGTCCAAGTTTAAACCACAAATGACTGCAATCTGTAGAAGGAGAGTGCAGGTAAAGAAGACAGCAAATGAGATTATTGAAGAGGATCGGTAGAGGTATTGCTCCTCACAAGAGGGCATTAACTGGGGTGGGGGTCTGCCTGCAGACCCTGACCCAAACGACGGATGAATAAAACATACACTGACACACAGATATTCTGTTTTGCCAGTTCTGCTGAGTGTCCGACCGCCTGCCCACCAAGAAAGATCTGTCACTGTGGCTGGCCTTGAGCAGTTTGCACTCCAGGCATTTATTTAGTATACAATTAACAACAGATGCTCTGAGTCAACACACTTGTGGATAATTAACATGGTTAAGAGAGTAGTTCTACAAATGATTAAAGCTTAGTAAATACTATTAGGGGGTAATATCCCTGTTCAACCTGCCCACCCCTGCCCCATCTCCGCACCACCCCCACCCAAGAGGGCCGTCTGGCTCAAAGGTTAGTTAATGGAAGTAAGGTAAACAGACTTAACTGGGAAGCTTCTGTTGTCCCTAGTATTTACCCTATGACCTAATGCTCTAAGGTGAGAACTGGCTGCCCTCAGCCTGTTCAATTGTTACAAGCTATGTAAAAAAGGTTTGTGATTATTCCCTATAACTTTTCCTAATGTTTCCCTTTAATGTTTCTGCCACCATCCTGAGTGAATCCCAACAATCAGTGAAGTAAGGGGGAAAAGTGACGCATGTTAGAGTCTTGGAAGCCATGAGAAAAGGGAGTTTTAAGAATATGGGTGTGGCTGACTTGGTAAGAAATTGAGTAAGGTGAATACAGGAACATGATTCAAAATATTGGCAACCTTAACAGAAACATTTTTAATGGAGTAGTAGGAAAATAGTTAAGATTGTGTTGGATCAAAGTGTGTAACTGGAAACAAACAATTGAAGATAGCCCGTGCAGACCCATCTTCTGAGCAAGTTGGCTTTAGGAGAGTTCAGGAATATAAACAAATAGTTAGAGATAGTGAGAAATTGGATGTTTTGCTGTATCATGTTTTCTTTTACCTCCTTTTTATGCAGTGACTGAACACACCAGAAAATTCTGTTATGCTGATATGATTGCCATAGAAGGAAAGAAAAAAGAGGAAGAATTAAAGAAACAAAGTTCTGAGAAGGGTCAAGGGGATGGGCCTTCAAAGAAGATATGAAAAATTGGCCTATTATTAAAATCAATGAAAGAAAAGGTGGGCTAATCTAGGCAAGATTCCAGGTTTGTTGAGGATAAGATTGAGACAGTGAAAATATTAAGTGTGCTTAGAAAAAGGATATGGGAATGAATGAATGGACAGTTTCCAATTGATATTATAAAAGTGTTATAGCTATTGATAAACAATCAATGAAAAAATATGAATAACAGGATGGTCAGGCAAAAATAAGAGTTTAACTGAGTTTGAAGATAAGCACAGGTCAATGGTACATATGCTCATTCATCATTGTTTTGTGACATCCTCCAGAAAGTCCACAATAATAAGATCAAATAAATGTCCATAACTGGAATTATATAAGACTATCAGATTGGCAAAATAATAGTTGGTTAAGTTTATGTTGAATGGCTGGTTGTAAAACAATGACTTGAAAAAGAGAGAGGTCATGCCAGATTTAGGAGATGGAGAAGAATATGGCAGGACTTGTACAACTAAAGATCTCTATTTTGGTAGAGATAAAGATATGACTCAGTAGAAATTTACATAAAACATTAGGAGGCACAGTCAAAGAGTGAGATTTCAGAGTAGGTCATCCAAAGAAAATTTTCAACTGCTAATTAAATCTATACTATTAGCGCTTATGTGAGTGACTTCAGCTGACTAATATGAAAGTCAGTGTTTTGAAGAAGTTGAAGATAATTAGGGCAGAGTGAGAGCAATACCAAAATAAACAAAAAGAAACCACACATACTGTAATTTTTCACATCAAAAATAATTTTTTCATGTTACTTTTAGTACTAACTGGGTGACAAAAGTTAAATAACTCATTTTTTTTCCCTAAACTTTTGATTAATTTCCTTACTGGAGGCTACCACAAAGAAAATTGACTATTTTAGAATTCGAGGTAAAAGTCAATCATATATTAAATGTCAGTCCTGA